CTTGAAAAGTTTTGTTTTCCAATTGACTTTTGTTCATGATTCAAGTGCATTGTTTTGGTAAAATGAGCTTTGAATGTTTAAAAAATGCTTTGTGATCACACTTGTTGGGTTCAAATGAATAAAAAGGAAGGTTTTGAACTTTGTTTTGAAAATGACAAGTCGAGTTGCTTGAGTTATTCTTTTGTTGTTCATTCATTGCATGATTCTTATCATGAAGTTTTTATACAATTCAATTGAATGTTTTGAATCCAAAGTTTTCAAAAATTCCAATTTTGCTCCAAATGTGTCGAGTAATTCCAAAGTTGACCAAAATACCTTTGTTTGAGTTGAAGCTTGTTCCATTTGATTCTTTTCCATCCAATTACATGTGCTAAGTGCCTTTAAACTTGTTTGTAATATAATTCTTGATTCTTGCCATGCTAGGGCATAAGTTTGATGTTTTTTGACCTTCCTTATCATGATTTTGATCTTCTCTTGCAAAATGAGATTAATTGCCATTCCAACCCAACTTTTTGAAGTCAAATAATTCCATTGTTGTTTCTTGACCTTGAAACTTGTCAAATGTGTTCCTCTTTGAATAATTGTGTACACTTTGGAATAATTGCAACTTGTTGCTTGTATATACACCATTTTGCATACACTTATGTCACATTGATAGTTTTTGAGAGTTTTTGTGCATATTTCAAACTTATCTTCTTGGAATTGATCTTTGACTAAGTTTGGGGATGTGTTATGGATGTTTGGAGTTTAAAATGTGATGAGCATTGAAAAGCGCGTATTTAAACCCCTTAAGCTTGAGTATTCTAGAACCTTATCCTATCTTATGTTCCTGTTTTAGTCTAATTTCATATTATTTCCTTTTTCAGGCACTTATCCCCAAAATAAGTCAATTCAGCCAAATTAAAGCATAAAAGAAGCAATCTTAAGCTAAATGGAAGAAATGAGCAAAGTGGAAGCAAAGTGGTGGAAAACAGCAAGTTTTAATCAGTAAGAAAAATCTTCGATCGATCTCACAGTGATCGATCCAACCTTATCAAGATGGATCGAGCCTTTTGTCCTTATCCCTAAGAATTTCCATATTCAATCGATCTAACATCCTTTCGATCTATCGAACTTTTTTGATCTTATCCCCACCTATCACTTTTGTCTTTTTCTTAAAATATCCCGAAAATATCTCAAATCTGTCGGTATTCCAAAAGGCGCCACCATAGTTCGATCGATCTCACCAAACTTCGATCAATCAAACCCCCTCAAGTTCGAAAAAAAAAAACAGAGTCCAGCTTATTAAAAGATGGCTCACGCTGTAATCATTGAAGAGGCCCTAGTGCACAAGGCCTGACCATTGGGTGTGACACTTGAGCTACCTATATAAGGATTTTGAGCCATTTTTACAAAAAAAGAGGAAATATACACAATCTTGGAGAGAGAGGTTAGAGGAGTCTAGAAATTAGAGAGATACACACCATATGGGAGTTCTTCTATTCATTTAGGGTTTCCATTAAGAAGAAGATCATTCCTACCATAGAGATGGCCCTTGAGGGTTGGATTACTATATCAATGAGTGGCTAAACATCTTCTTGGGGCTAGAGTTAGCCCTAAGCATGCCTTCTAGATCTTGATGTTTTGTATTTTGAGGGGATTTGTGTTGTAATTCTTGTTTTAACATTTGATTTATATATGAATCTTGTTTCGACAATGATTTGTGTTGTTTAATACTTTAATTGATCATTTCATTATTCTCATATGTCTATGTATGCTAGAATAGATGTTCATGTGTTTATCTCTAGGTTTTGTGTTATTGATGCATGTATATGTGTGTTGATGCTATGAATCTAGAGATTGTCAAGGCATGGTGCTTTAATGGAATACTCTTGTGGTTTGTTTGATGGTTTATACTCATTTCTTGATGGATTGTGCCTCTACCTTAGTTTAATTAGTTTAATTTTCATGTCCTTAGCTTAGTTGTAGTGTAATTGCCTTACTTTCTTAGATGGGAGGACAATCCATGCTTGTTATTTGATGTTCCATGCTTATGAATGCAAGTAGTATAATTCTCTAGCTTGTTAATGTGTTTTGATTGTGAGATTAAAGAAAGAAATAATGGCTTAGTTTGATATATTGTGCTATTCATTAGGTTGTCTAGACAATGTATACTTAATTAGTCATCCAAGCTTGTTAATTCAATCAATCATACATATTAGTATTGCAATATATATTCTCCCTCATTCATTACAGATTGAGTGTCTAGAAAGGTATTGTTTAGTAGTGACCTCTAAGTCCTAAGATACCTCTCTTTTATTCTCTACCTTTTATTTACTTTAATTGCTTTGTATTGAATTTGTTTAACAGTATAGTTTAATTAACCAATTAAAACATCTTTGATCACTTGACCTACTAGTCCAACGTTGTTTCCATATCAATATTGCTTCATTTCCCTTGGGTCGATCCCTACTCGCCTTAGCTATATTAGTAGTTAGAGGTAGTAGTGGCACTTTACAAATTCAAACTTGGCCACTCTTTAGCATGTTTTAACTTGTTGGTTCACGATGACACCAAGTTTTGGCACCGTTGCTGGGGATAGGTAATATCGTATTTTGGAAACAATTAGGAATTAGTACTTTTTTGATTATGTTTTTACTTTATTTTATTTTGGCTACTTATTGTGTTTGTTCTTAATTGGCTAGCTGAATTGAACAAAGGAAGTGAAGTAAAGGAGAATTTTAAAGCAAGGAGCTAAGCTAAGCATAAAATGCTAAAATCTAAAAAAATTGCAAAGGTAAGAGAAAATTGAAAAATAAATTAAAGTTGCTTAAGGACCGTTTATGAGCTTTTCTAAACTCAATCTCTAGTTAAATCGTGAGCCCGCGTGGAGGCGAGTTTTTATTTTCTTAGATAGATCGTGAGCCCGTGTAGAGGCAATTTAATTTTTCTTACATATTGTTCAAAGCATGGGAGTATGGGATCATCGTATGTGGAAGATTGTTGATCGATTTGTTGCGGAGGCGAAGTGATTGCTACTTGCTTGTTGCTTGTTTTTGTTTTGTTTGTGCATGTATGGTCGTAGGTCATTAAATCCTACTCTTATCCCACTTAATTTGAATCTTGAATCCATTGTTCGTAATTCTAAGGGAAGGGGTAATTCTAGCCATTCCGTTTTACCAATGGAGGAGCAAAATGACAACTATGTGGATGACCTTGGTCACATAGACCAACAAGATATCTTCCACTCTAATGTACATCATGACAATATTCAAGTACCATTAAGCATGCCAAGACCTTTTATTCCACCACAACAAGGCCAAGTTCCATTATGCAAGGCTATCAAGGTGTTCGTGTAGCACCACCTGTTGTGAATCCTCCTCTTGCTTTGCGTGATCATTATGTGCCAAATGAATATAACATTCAATTACCCCCATTTAGAGCACATCACTATGAAATTAAACCACAAACCATTCAAATGCTTCCCAATTATCATAGACTTCTAAATGAAGAACCTTATAAGCATTTGGATAAGTTTCTTGAACTGTGCTCCACCGTGAAATACACTGACATGCCAGAAGAAGTTTTAAGACTCAAACTTTTTCCTTTTACCCTTAAAGACAAGGCAAAATATTGGTTCAACAATCTTAGGCCTTTTTTGATAACTTCTTGAGTGGAAATACAACAAGATTTCTTGAAAAAGTACTATTCGGTTTCAAAGACCAATGTAATGAGAACTTCAATTAGAGAATTTTCTCAAGGGGAAGGGGAATTGTTTCACGAGGCATGGGAGCGCCTCAATGACTTACTTAGGAAGTGTCCATATCATGACATTCCTAAATGGCAATTGGTACAAGTTTTCTTCGAAAGTTTGTCAGATAATTTTAAAGGAATGGTTGATGCTTCCATGGGTGGTTCTTATCTTGATAGGCATGAGGATAATGTGTGGCGTCGATATGAGAGCATGAGTGAGAATTCGATGCATAGATCCTTGTCCTCTAAAAATGGTAGAAATCTAGGTGGAAGGAAGAATGTCGGCTTATATTAAGTTGACAATTCCAATGACATAGCCGCCGAGGTGAAATTTTTATCTCAAAAGTTTGATCAATTTTTTATCAACCAAAATTTGGAAATTCAAGTGACTTCCTCCCCTAATCATATTCATCATTCATCTAATGAATCTTGCATGACTTGTTCTAGTGTCTTACATTGTACTTCCAACTGTCACCATGGACATGTGCAAAGTGAGAACCATGAACAAGTGAATGCCACATTTGTCAACCAAGGGAATAATCCCTATGGCGCACATTATTATCCTGGGTGGAGGAACCATCTAAACTTCTCTTAGAAAAGTCAAGGGGAAGGCTCAAACCCTCCCCAAGGTGGTTTTCAAGGTAAGTATATTCCACCCCCAATGCAAAGCCAAGGTTCCCAAGGTTATAGATCGTCATTTCAATCATCACATGGAAACTAATTTTCTAACTCTCATTTTCCTAATCAATCATCTTATTCTCAAGGAAATTCTAGGAGTCCCGCTTTTGAGGAAAAAGTGTTAACCGCTTTGGGTACTATAGAGGCAAACACTCAATTACTTCACTTTCATTCCCAATCTATTGCTAAGGTAAAAACCCAAGTCGGGCAAATAGCTAGTACATTGAATGCTAAAGAAAAATGAAAGATGCCTTTAAATGCCCCACCAAAGCAACAATTTGTTGTGGAAACCAATTCCTCATCAGAAGGTCCCACAATTAAGCATGTCAATACGGTGATAACCTTAAGAAGTGGAAAAATTGTTGACAATCAAGTTAGTGTTTCTAATGAAGAGAGTGAATCGGTGTAACCAAAAGTTGACACCAGTCCCACTACAACAGATTAGGGTTTTACCAGCGCTCTTTAGAAGAGGCTGGTATAGGTGTCATAGTACCAGCGCTCTTTTTAGGAGCGCTGGTATAGGTGTCATTCTACCGGCACTTTAGGAAAAAGTGCTGGTATAGGCCCTCCATTCCCTCCATATTTTTCCCCTTCCTTCCAATTTTTCCCCTTCCTTCCAATTCCACTTTCCCATTTCAATTAGCCCTAATTTTCGTCTCTCTTTTCGTGCGTCCCTCGGCCTTCTCTTCCTCTCTGCTCTATCCCGATCTCTGCTCCGTCTCGATTTCTCACTGCTCAATCTCCATTTCTCAGCTGAAGCACTTCTTCAGCTCATCGTAGGCTCTCTCTCTCTCTCTCTACCATCACCACCATCATTCTCCCTTTCTTTCCACCTGCGTTTCAGAGTACCTCAAATTCAGATTCTCTCTTCTCCCCTCACGGATCCTACTCATCCTCTCTCTCTTGGTGGTAAGTACCCCACTTTCTCTCTATATTATATATATATATATATATGTATATATATCTATAGATATATATATATATATATATACTATACATGTTTTCTTTTCTTGTTCTTTAATAAAAGAAACAGAAAATTAGAATCTAGGGTTTGTAACATAAGAAATGCTGGATATGTTGTTATTGAGCTAGATATCTGAAATTAGGGTTTGAAATGCTAGGAGGGTCCTTCGTTTTCTTCTAATTCATATTTAATTTTTTTGAATGTTGCAAAGGAAGGGATGTGGTTCATCGTCAGACAAAGGACTTGATGCAAAGGTACGACACTGCTTTGTTCTTATTTTTTTGTTTGTGATGTCTTGCTATTTGTGCCCTTTTTTGCCCTATTGAGTTGGCTGCTCTGCCGATTCCCTGGTCTCGTAACATGGGTGGCACAGAGTGGTGCTTCTGCTTGCTTGATCGTTTTTTTAATTTCACTGTTTTCTTCATTTTGTATATTGAAAATGTTTGTTGTGTGATTTTGTCAAACAGGTGAAGGGACTGCATAATGCGTTTGCTCGATTGGGAGATAGATCGGCCATGGGCTCTGTGATTCTAGCTTCGTGGAACCAGGACTATTGCCAGTCAGCTCAATGTAAGACTCTCTCTCTCTCTCTCATCATGGAAAGTTAGGGTTTAGAGTTGGTTAGTGGTGAGGAGTATTTGCATAGTGCATACACATACTGATATTAACAAAGAACATGTTTCATTTGGATTGAATGTCACCAAGTAGAAGTGCTCATCTGCTTTTGGAAGCAGCCAATACAGTGATTTTTCAGAAGAAACTGTCAGAATCCCAACTTAAGAACATCCATGGATGGTAGTTGGATGATAGTTTATGGTATTCCATAATTCTTATCAAATATTGCTTTATTAATTTCTATTTTATATTTACTTTGTATCTTCAATTCCATTAGGATGATAGTTTATGGTATTCCATAATTTGAAGCTTGATGTTTTGCTTCAAAACCATATTTGGGTTCTTACTTTCAGACTCTGTTATGCTTGGCTATTTCCTGAATTGGCATGTAAACACGTTATTTAATATGTGGTTTATTGTTATATATGCCATTAATTCTGTTATTCAGTTAATAGGATTACATCTGTGTGTGTGCGCGTGCGCATTTATATGTGTAAATACTGAAATATTTTGTGGTTGTAGTGTATGCATAATGATAAGAAAGACCAAGTAAAATGGGATGTTGTTTATGAATTTATTGCAGAAAATGAATTTGATCTGAATTCTGAAGCGAGTCCTGAAGTGGGATGGTATGTTCTTGGCGAAGGTCAATAGCATATTGACCCCTATAATTTTTCTAAGTGGCATGGTGAGTCTTGCATCAATTTAGTAATTATCGCGAGAAGTTGCATGGTTTTGGAACAGGCTAAAATGGCTTGAATTATTGTGTTGAATAAATGTATATACTGGAAGAAGGGTGTCTTCCCTTTATTTTTTTTAATTTTTTATTTGTTTATTTTTTTTTGCCTAAATGTATAATTTATAGTTCCTTAAATTATTAAGATCCCTTTGTTTCTCTCCTTTCTTGAATTCTAGTGATGTTCGATTGTGATCCCTTTCTTTTGGAGTTTAGTGATTCTAGTCTAGAAACTATATAACTTGAGCATCACATCAGTTAGATACATCCTCAAAGCAGATTATGTATGCAAGGGTTGATTTCTCATACGTATTGAATTTTGAATTCTAGGTCATATAATCATTGTGATACAAGGGAAGATCTCTTAACCCAAAACATAGCCTGAATTGCTTTTTATCTGTGATTGTGAACTTGATGAGGTTGATTATAACGGGTTTTGGTATTTTTCTTGTCCAAATTATATTTGTGAGCTTGTTGTTATTAACAGTAGCTATTGGGGCCAAAGGAAACGAGAGTCCAGAGTATAAATGTTGACTCATTCTTGGTGGCTCACCATTTATTGGATGATCTTAAGCATCTTAATTGATTTCGATTTACTGGAGTCAGCCCAGTATAATACAAATTTAGAATTTAGATTCAACAACATAAAGTTGACCATAAATTTCTACTTGCAAGCAGAAATCATCCAACATGAAGGAGGTTCCAGTTGTGATCATTCGAGAACATCCAAGCTTGAATAAACAAGTACTAATTTCTAGTAATGCATGCTTTAATTATATTTTTCATTTTTTCCTCTTTTTATTTTGACGTGTCTAATTAATAATGTATATTTCATTGCATGAATAGGTGCTTAGAAGAAGCTCCAATGTTCTTGTTAAAGCCCATCAAACAATCGGACGTGAAGGAATTGAGATGTCGATTAATGAAATATAGAAGCTAAAAGCAGTCTGTCATTGAGGAAGGTAGGTTTAAATAAATTTTCTGCCTTGAAATTTTTTGTTTTGGTAAATTACATGGAATAATGTGGAAGAACATATTTACAGATATCTTCCTGCTTAAAGACGCATTTTTTCACGAATTGGTTGTATACAATTTTTTGGGTTTAAATCTATATCGATAGATTTTGTAGAGACCTGTTATGAATATGTTTTTGTATTAGTTGAGAACTCTTGCAGAAGTAGGTCATTAGCTTTAGCTTTCTTTAATCTGCAAAAAAAAAAAAATAAAAAAAAAATAAAGGTTTCTATAACAATGAAGCTGATAAAATATTTTCTAAGAAATTGGAAGCTAACTCTTGTAGAAGTAGGTCATTAACTTTAGCTTTTTTTAATCTGCCAAAAAAATATATATATAGTTTTTATAACAATGAAACTGATAAAATATTTTTTAAGAAATTGGAAGCTACAATTTGGACGTGTAAAAAGCTGAGATTTAGCAACGGTCTATAACCCAAATACCTATATTTGATGGACCATCTTCTATTTTAGTGATAACCTATTATTTTTGGTCAAACAGATCAAGGAGTTCAATGACTAGAACAGTAATTATGGAATCTCCCCAACACTAGGGCTGGTGGGCTGGGTATCAATCTTACTGCAGCTGATACCTGCATTTTATACTATAGTGACTGGGTACTTTCCTCAAACCATGATTTTCTCTATTTCTTGTGCTTGTTTTGGCCTTTTTGGCCTTTTCATTTGATGCACTTGACATTTTTGTTTATCATATATTCATTTGCATCCCAGAATCCCCAAATGGATTTACAAGCAATGGATTGGTGTCACATAATAGGTCAAACAAAGCTCGTTCATGTTTACAGGCTGGCAACAACTCAATTTGTAGAGGTCCTTTATGGTTGGCTTTGTTCCTTTGTTTTATATAATGCAATTTGCTATTCTACTTGTAATGGAAAGAAATTGTATATGCTATCAGGGTCGAATTCTAAAAAGAGCTTTCAGTAAGTAAAAGTTGAGCAAGTCGTGATTGGGAATGGGCAGTTTCAGCAAGAAAGAACCACATCTAACAGTACAGGTCTTACGGAGGTTTGTGATATCTATTTTGATATCTTCAACCATGTGATGTGTGTGTACTGTTCTGTTGGCTCAATAGTCCTCGAATGGCATACTGTAGTTCTCTGTTGGACAATGTGTTTATTAGAGAGCCAGATTGATTTATGCTTTTTCTTAATGATGCATGGTATAACTTGTTTCTGCATTTCTAAGACTTTTGTTATAATGTATATTTTCTATTATCTACAACAGACAACTGAACACTTGTTGACACGATTCAGTTGTCTACTCCTAAGTTATTTTGAAAATTTCCATGTCATTCAAAATTTTAATTTTTTTTTTTTTTTCTGCTATATTATTAAATTTTCTCTTAGTGTTTTTAAATTTCTCTTGGACTCTTTACGATTTCTAAAGCTTAATATGCAGACTGGCTAGGGTTGTGGCTTGGCTCAGGATTCTTACAATTTTGTTGGGTTAACACAAAATTGGTAGTCATTGGTCCGGGTTGACTCGACCTTGTTGTAAGGGGGCTAATTCCAGAGTAATGCATGCAAGTCTGAAAGTCTGATGTCTGCCTTTTTGACAGAAAAATCTTCAGCTTCAGTAACGCTGAGGTATGTGCATATTATTTTGGTTGTCCATATATTTCAACACACACACACACACACATATATATACATGCATGTTTTAACTTTCATTTAATACTTTATGTTTCATTACTCTTTTTTTTTATGCCAAAGAGATTTAGCCATTATTTCCATATTTGTAAACCATGATTTTAGTTTTATTAGACTACAATCAATAGTATGCAAGGATGTCAATGTTATATCACTTGAGCTTTCTGCTTCCTTGCTGTGCTTGGTTTTTTGAGTGATTAACTGTTTTAATAACAAAGTTAAATGATTTTCTTAGCAATATTAGGCTGCGTCTCCCTCGAAACTTTTTCATTAATGGAGCTGTGTTATTATAGGAGGACCTTCTAGCACTACTCCGAGATGAAGATCCTGAACACAGGATGATACAAACGGAAATCTTTGATGAAGATTTGGAAAGGGTTTTGGACAGCAGAGATTTGCTTGGTGGTACGCCAAATGAAGAGGGAGAACCAGATGCTGCTGTTAGTTTGTTTCCCCTTGAATGGCCTGGTTGGGAGGTGGTGACGCAACTGCAAGTGGAGGCATGTTCTCCAATCTCAATAGCTGACACTGGTTTAGTGTATGCAGGATTTGGTTATGGTTTTTGGAGTGGCGTATGCCTATTAATGTCCATCGTTTTGGACCTGACATTTTTTTGGATGCTAAACTATTCTAACAGTCTTGTGTGAGCTGAAAAATGCTTGTCGAGATAGCTTTCTTTTAATTTGTAAATGTGGAAAAGATTCAATTCTCTGGAAAGGAAGCTGATATTTTCAAATGTATTAATCTATATGTAAATGTCAAATTTGGGCAATGTAAGGCTGAATATTCCATTCTCTTCAAATAGTCCTATTTAATTAAGAAAAGATACTTTCTTCAAAAAGAACTGCTAGGGGGAAAAAAAAAAATTTAAATGACCCTTTTACTAGCGCTCTTTTAAGAAGCGCAGGCATAGGGGAAAAAAAATAATAAATAAATAAAATGACTCTTTACCTGTGCTTTATTTTTAAAAAAAGCGCTAGTAAAATCCTTATGCCAGTGCTTTTGGAAAAGCTAGCGCTTCTTTAGAAGCGCTGGTAAATTCCTACCGACGTCGGCTTTACCAGCACTTTTGAAGAAGCGTTGGTAAAACGTTGGTAATTGAATTACTAGTGCTTTTAAAGGCTTTTATCAGCATTTTTGAGCGCAGGTAAAAGCCATAATTGTTGTAGTGTCCCGTCTCATATTTTGTTCCTCTTTCATTACATGTGAAATATTCTTGTGTTGAAAAAGTTTTGCAAAATGATTTGAAAAATTCTTGTGTTGAAGTTAATTCTCAAAATGATTTTGAAAAGGTTTATGAGCCAAGAGCTCCATTTCTGGATGCTTGGAAATGATCCAATTCTCTTGAAAAATAATAAGGTAAAGCCAACGAAATTATTGAAATGTTTAGGCAAGTGAAGATTAACCTTCCCCTTTTGGATGCAATTAAATAAATTATGGCTTTTGCTAAATTCTAGAAAGATCTTTGCACCCAAAAGAGGAAGAACAAGAGCCAAACACCAAAAAAAGTTGTTTTAACCAAGCAAGTGAGCTCTATTTTACAACATAATACACTTCCAAAGTTTAAGGACATCGGTTCACCTACTACTTCTTGCATCATTGGTGACCATGTCATTAATCGGGCTCTTCTTGATTTAGGAGCAAGTGTGAACTCCTTCCGTACTTAATATATGTTAAATTGGGCTTAGGAGATTTAAAACCAACGTTGGTAGTTTTACAACTAGCCGACCGATCCATCAAAAAGCCCCAAGGTATTATTGAGGATGTGTTAATCAAAATTGACAAGTTCTTCTTCCCAGTCGATTTTGAAGTCATAGACATGGAACCGGTCCTAAATCCTAAGAGCCAAATTCCTGTTATCCTGGGCCGTCCTTTCTTGGCAACCGCTAATGTCAACATAAATTGTAGGATGGGGATGATGAAAATTTCATTTGGGCATATGAAAGTGAAGTTGAACATATTTAATCCAACCCCGAGTTCAATAGAAAAGCATGAAGAAATATGTGTTGTGGAAAAGTGTCTTGAAAATGAATTTTGAAAAGTTGAGTCTTTGCTTGAAAATGGAATTTCCAAAAGTTTACTTTCCAAAATGATTTCAAAAAATGTTATTTTGAAAACAAGTGTTGAAAGGGCATGGAAGCCCAAGAGTTGCATTAACAAAGGACAATCAATCTCTTTTGATTCAAATCCAATAAGTTCTTTAGGGAATAATTTGTTGGGTGGGATTCAAAATGTCATTCACCTCGTCAAGGAGGGGATGAACAACAAGATTTTTGATCTGGGCTAAAAGAGCTCAATGTCTTGCTAGAGACGTTAAACACTAGTGCTTCGTAGGGTTTACAACCCTATTCCTCCATCATTTCTATATTACCTTGCATTTCTTGCATCGTCTAGATATATTCTGGGTTCATACACATTGTTAGGGACTTTGATTGAGAATGCGTGCACTTTTATTTTCGAACTAAGCATTTTGTGCCTGTTCGATCGATCTCAAAAAAGGTTCGATCGATCGAACAATCATCTCTACATCCAATCACTTCTCTGTTCCATCGTACGAAATTTCCTACATATTTCACCTCTCTGTGTATCGTGCGAACTTTCTTTCTGATCGATCTGAAATTCCAAGATCGATCCAATTTTCCCTTGGATCAATCTTCATCACATACTTAGAAAATTTTTTGAACCCATGAAAAATCAGCTCTCTGTGTATCGTTCGAACATGTCTGCAGGTTTTCACTGGTTGGATCGATTGAGTTTCGATCGATCTATGTTCGATTGATCTGGGTGCTTCCTGTTGACTTTTACTTCTTTTTGAATTTCAAATAAAAAAAATTAAAAATTAAAAATTAAAAATTACTTTATGGTTTTGTGGGTTTGATCGATCTGAGTTCCTTCCTGATCGATCGGAGTTCGATCGATCTGATCACCCAAGTGATCGATTGAACATGTCGGAGACCGTTTTTAAAAATATAACCCAAGGGTCACTTGGATCGATTTCAACATCTTTCCAAAGCCCTCTTTCTTCCCCACCGTAGCCCATCTTCTTCCTCATCTCTGGTGAACCTCCGGCGAGCTTCCAAGCTTTCCAAACTCGATCACATCTCATCTCTCTCTTAGTCCGTTTCTCTCTTCTCAATGTGGTAAGTTTTTGGGTTCCCTCTTTTAATTTTCGAGTTGGTTTACATGTTTTAGATGTTGCCATGCTTAGATCTGAGCTTTCATGTTTGATTTCTTGCTATTTTTGAAACTTTATAGCATGTGTATATATATGTATATATTTTTGTATATATTTTGTTCTGATTTTGATTTCGAGTGTCACGTGCCGACTTAAGTGACCAATCTTGACTTGTTAAGGTGTATAGGGGCTTACAAGTAGATTCGGGTGCCCCCCGTGTTGTCCATGTTATAGATCTGTGACTGTTCGTGTTTCTACATAAGTTTGATCGATCATAGTAGTGCTCTGATCGATCAGAGCATGATCGATCTTATCCATGTCCTGATCGATCCAACCTGGATCGATCTCATCTTTTCCATGATCGATCGAATCTCACTTTTTGGCATACCATCTTTTGTGTTTCTTGCTATCCATTTTATGCCCAATGCTTGTGTTTTCCGCATTAATTACATTCCACTCTGTCATATTTAGCATGTTTCACTTAGTCACTGTCTATCCTTGGTTGCATTATAACTTGCATAGATTCATATAATTTATTCTGAGTTATCTATCCTGACTTGGCAAACATGTTTCTATTTGTGTGCTTTTAATTCTATATCTCATATAATGTTTCCTATACTTACTACAATTGCAAGTGTTTTTCTATTTTGCAGACCATAGCTCGAGTCAAGACCGTTGCCCACCGGATATATGAGCGTAGAGTACGGCAGCGAGTAGAGGAGCCTGTGGAGCCAGCTCCAGCTCAGTCTGAGCGCTCCTCCTCTTCTGCTTCTGCATCCTCGTCTTCTTCATTAGCTGAGGAGGCTGAGTAGACACCGCCTCCCTCACCTAGATGACCACCGGCACTGACCGAGTTAAGCGCATATATTCACGCCTTACAGTGGCACATGAGTCCATCTTTGATACTACTTTATTCTCTTGGTTGTTTCTAACCAGGGAAGCCTATGATGATATTTCTCGTTGTGGCATTTCAGCTATTCTGGCCCCGGTGGCCAATCCGGTTTACCCGCGACTCATCCGGTTGTTCTACTAGGACCTCCGACCGGCCCTGAGTAACTTGGCGGAGTTGCGGATCACTATAGATGGACATCTCATCCGCATTATAGTCAAGACACTGGCCACATCCTCTCGGTGCCCGCACGTTTGCCCTCCCGGCCTTGATTATCCTATTCTTATGAGGCCATCTGATGCAGACATGGCAGTAGCTCTGACTGGCCTTACCAGTGCCAGTGAGACATTTGCCACCCGGACTTACTTGCTGAATGATTTATGGTTTTTTGATTCGGTGTTATACTGAAATGTATTTATGGCGGGCCATAAGATTCAGCAGCGCTTAGATTTTCTTGCAGCCCTTTATGCCTTTTATACAGGCCATTGGTTTTCTATTCCTACACTCTACTGGAGTGTAATGATGAAGCTTTACACGAGTTACATTAGCAAGGTAAAGCCTAAGCGAGCCACATTCCTCCCCTTTGAACATCTGATTACTCAGATCCTCAAAGACCAGCACTATCATTTCCATTCACAAAAGCATACTCAGTCAGGGGCTTGCCATTATGGCAAGAAGGACTGGAATAAGAGCTATAATACTCTTATCAAGAGTCTACAGATTGAGGCTATCTTGGCAGCCAAGGAGGCAAAGACAGCAGCAGTAGCAGATGATCCAGCAGACGCACCGGCGGCTACGGATGCACATATGGAGATTGACTTGGAGCAGGAGCCTCCAGCAAAGTCACCATATCACTCTCCGGCAGGGTCACCATTACATTCACAGGAGTATAGTCAGGATGAGCCTCAGTTTCATGATACAAACCTTCTTGACGTTCCAGCTCAGACACCCAGCCTAGGGGAGCGACTTCAGACCTTAGAGGATGCGGTTGTCTCTCTCCGAGCATATATGACTACTCTCCACACAAACATCTTGACTGTGCTGCAGTGTATTTCTAGAGACATCCGGGGATCACGACCTGCTTGACCGACTTCCTCTGCTTGATCTCTATATCTCTCCCCTCATTTTATATATTTGTGATACTATTATTATATTTTTGCGGCCAGTCTTTTGGCCCAGATACCATGTTGTACCGTACATTATTTTTATTCTCTCTATTTTATACATGATATTTTTGGATGTCAGGTTATTATATTGACATATTTATCTGTGATTGACTCTATTATCAGGTACATTCCAGTGACTTTAGTGAGAGAGTGCTGCCCAAATTTTTCAGGACCACCCTTTTTCTTCTCTACTTAGTTCCTTTACTATCCCACTTACACTTGCATACCCACTATGCACTATTATTATTCCTTTTGTTATCCGATGTGATTTTATCCTAGTGCTATCTTTTCAGGACCATAATAAATCCCAAGTTTGGGGGGGTTATACCACCAACTTCGGTTACTTATGTTCCAACCATTTTTTTGACATAGCCGCATTGGTATACTCTTTCCTCTTTATTTTCTTCTCTTTGTAAATTGAGGACACTGTGCCATTTAAGTTTGGGGGTAATGTGTGTTCTTTGCAGTGTTTGTTTTTAATTCAAAATTTTGAGCATGACTTGTGTATTTGAGGAATTTTCTATGATTAGTCTATGACTAGCTATGATTTTGATCTTTTGAGGAC